CCACAACGCTGGCCTTTCCACTCACCTTTGGAAGATCCCTTGTATGGATTTCAAAATTTGAGGGCACCAAAATAAGCTAATTTTTTAATTCCATTTTCCACACACGTGTGGCACACCCTCTGTGTGTGTGTGTGCTTGTGTGTGTGTGTGTGTGCCTATTCTGCCCCTCTCCCTCATTTGTGTTTTTATTTCCCTTGCCAAGCAGGCAGAGAGGTAAGGCCAGACCCTGCGCCTCCACTTATGCAGGTAGCCTCAAGGTCTTTGTAGGGATCTCTGCCTCTTTCTGTACCTCTGGCACTGAGGCTTCCCATCAAACTTTAGCAAACAGATTCCAAGAGCACTTCTCCCACCAGCGGCAGGCGGCTTCCTTCCTCCTGGAGGCAGTAAGGAGTCTTCAAATCTCTAAGCACCCTTCAAGGGGATTAGCCAGCAGGGCTACCTTGGATGATAGGACCCAGCTATCTCCCGGCCCCTTTGTGTGAGGAGCTCTGAGCACCCCCAGCCCCAGCCAGGTTTCTTTGTATGGAGACCAAGGTGGGTCTCCTATCAGTGGAATGCTTTGAGGGCCTGGCCTCTGAATGGCATTAATATCCTGATTGTCTTCCCCAATCTCGTGGGAGCCCATGGGGTGGTGCCCACAGATAAAATTACCTTCATATCCAAGAGATAGAGGGCAGGCAGATAAAGTCCCTAGGAGGACAATCCAGCCGCCTGCCCCAAGGAAGCCACAGCAGCTCCTAGGGGACAATGGGGATCTGAATATTTGTACAACTGCCCTCATAAACCCCTCCCTCTGTCTGCTGCCCAGGGAGGGGCGGAGCTCACAGAGGCAAGCTAAGGTGCCTGCCCCGACTCATTAAGTTGTTAACAGGCATTTAGTGCCCCAGACAGGGCCCAATGCAAGGGCAGTTCAAATCCCCACTGGGATGGGGAAGGGGTCCTGGGGGAGGGGCTTCCATCTTATCCCACAGAATGCACCTTGGCCAGGGGCAACACTGGGGAGGAAGCAGTAAAGCAGCCCCTGGCTGCCCGACTGCTCTCAGCATCTGCATGGAGCAGAGAGGCACAGGGCACGCCAGCTCCAAGCTCTGTCTGAACTAGGGCAAAGGACTTCAGCATACACAGAGGTCCCACCCTAGGAGCTGGTTGTGCAGGTTCAGTAAGTGATGCCCCGGGCTCAGGAAGTGCTCCGTCAGTACTCCCTGTCCCGATTCTTCACATTGATGCACAGCCTCACCACTGCCACTGGGGACGGCGGGGCCTTCCTCAGTCCTGCAGATTGCGGTGTCAGGGACAACAGTGGGAGCGACCCAGGCACAGTGTCCTGGAGTCCACTTCATCCAGGGCCAGGGGTTAGATTCATGCCAACAGCGTGGGAGGGGCTGGGAGGGGCAGCCAGGGAGGCAGGAGGATCCTCCGTTTCTGCAGCTCTCATCTACTGTCAGGGAAGTCAGATCCACTGGGCTTACAGAGGGAGGAGCAGCGGCCACAGACACAAAAGCCTCCTCCTGTGGCACAGGAGGCCTGGGTGTTATCCTGGGCAGGCAGCTTCTCTTCTCCGTGCCCTCCTCTGCCCAGGGGCAGGTGTCCCCACTTCCTTCTCCAAAGGGATTGCCACAGGGAGCAGGGGCTGCACGGCCACGGCTGAGGGCAGGCTGGGGAAGACTGCGTGCCCCTCCCCTGCCTCCCGAGGCAGTGGCCGGGCGAGTTCGCCTGACTGGAGCGAAGGGTGCAGCGAGCAAGGCCACCACTGATCATGCAGCAGATACTGCGGCTGGGGCCGAGAGGTGAGCCCGGCTTCCGTCCCGTGCCAACTTCCTCCTCCTCTCCTTGGGCCAATCAATACGCACACCAGTCTCGGGCCAGTCCCTTGTCTTACTGTAGCCCTGCCCTCTGACCTTCTAGGGGCCTTTCTCTTGATTCAGCTCCAGAATGGAGGTAGAGGCCATCACTCGGGGCCTGCTCAATGGCCTCAGAACCGGCTGTCACGGGGCCTATAACCAGGGACAGCTCCTGCTGGCGCAAGCTGGGATGGGGTGGAGTGCAGATAAAGGCCGTCCAGGCCGAAGATAAATGGCCGCCTGCAGCCTGCTCCAGCGACTCCAGGCCCCCGAGAAGAGCAAACAAAGGGTGCCCCTGTGACACTCCCTGGAAAGATGAAGGCCCATCAGCCAGAGCCAGGCTGGTTCAAAGCCCCAACTTAATTGTCAATTAGGCATGCATAAGGGGGACAAAGCCATGACAACGGCGGGCTGCATGCTGGTGTGTGATTGTAGGGCAGCTGATTCTGCTGACAGTGTGCTTGTGGAGCACCTTGTAACCAATCAGCTGCTGACAGCGGCACAGGGCTCCTCCTGCCACCCCTACTGGGCCGGACATTCCAGGACCAGGGTCACACCGTGGTCATCGTGGGCGAGTGGGCCACTCGGCGCTGAGCGTGGCTGGGAGGCGAGGGGAGAGCAGACACTGTGCCCCTGCAGGAAGGGGCTCTGGGAAACACTCGTCTCCCAGCTGCTGGTGCCCGGGGAAGGGCAGAGGGGTCTCATCTGCCCCCTTGCTCCAGCTCAGCCCGAGATCGGCTGGCTCTGGATGTTGGTTTCTCCTTAGTGACTCAAACTCCTTTTGCATCTTGCATTTGGTTATGTCTGGGCTTTTACAGACTGGACCTTGGTCATGGGTACCGTGAGGCTCTGCGGACCAAAGCCCACCCTGAGCACCAGGCTCCAGCCTAGGAATGCCAACGCAACTCCAGGCAGCCTGAGGCGGGGACATGAGCCTCCAAGCCCAGGCACAGGTGCACTGGCTGCCTCTGCCTCTATCCCAGGACCAGGACAGCTCCTAGGAATAACGCCCTGGCCCGGTGTGTGGAATTAAGCAAGCAGATCTCCGCAGCCTGCCCTTCTTCCCGCTGCCAACATCCAGCGCTCTGTGATGACTGTAGTAGGCATGATGAAAACACAGCTTACTGGGCAAGGTGACATCTATCCACTCCCATGTTGAATCCTCACACAGACCCCGGGAGGCAGGTACCGTGTCTGCATTCTACAGGGAGGTTTTGAGAACTCAGCACATTGATAAGCTGGCTGTTTAAAGCCAAGATTCTAAACTATACCTAGAGAATCCAGTGCGTGGGCGAAGACGAGGGCAGCCACTGGAAGTATACAGTGTCCCATAATTGTTGCAGGAATAGCGCAGGGCATCTCCCTCCCTGGAAAGATCCACGCAGTCCTGAACGATAACCCGGATGCCCCACTGGTTCTGAGGCCTGCAGGGTGGCAGCCTCAGCTCCGGTTACAGCACGCTGCCCGGGCCTGGGAGGCACGCAGTGGGAATCAGCAGACCCAAGTTTGCGGCTTTGTTTTGCTACCACTGCACTGCGTAACTCTGGCTAATCACTGCCTCCCTCTGGGACCCAGCTTCTGGGAAGTCCTGGCGAGCGCTGACTTTCTGTGACTTGTTACAAGGCGCACACCTCTGGGGCATCCCAGCAAACCCTCTTCCAGCTGGGACAGACGGTGCTCAGGCTGCCATCACTGGGCTGTGCCTCCCGCCCACCCTGCCCGGTTTCCAGTACCTGCTCGGCCGCCCTGCTGCCCCAGCCCTCAGTGGTCCCCTTAGCTAGCGACCCCGAGGTGACCTCTGCACAACCCCAGCTTGTCAGAAAGCTGCTGGGCCTTTGTTTGGCTTGCAGGCTCCCTGGCTTTGGAGTGGAGATCACAGGTCCCAGCACAATGGCCATTGTCTTCTCAATAATGCCTCTTGCCCCAGCCACGCCCCCCGCAGCTCCCAGATTCAGCTCTGTGGCAGGCACACGGCTGGCCCGCCACACGCCTGCTCCTGCCTGCTCTGAGTTTCCAGAGGAGCTAAGTGACTCAGTGACTGCAGTCAGGTCAGTATTTGCCTGGGGGCTTCTCTGTCACTTTCTCCCTGGGCGTCTGAGCCCTTGCTTTCCCTGGGAGTGGGACCCAGAGCGACTGCTCACCCAGCTCCTTGCTAGACATGATCCTGCTCTCAGATACCCCCCAAGTGACAATGCATGGAACAAACACTGCATACTGCCTGCCAGCTTGGGGCTCTGAGCCTGTCCCGGGGGCACGGTCACCCTAACACGTGGGTCAGCTGCCAGCTCTCTGGCCCTATCCATCCAAAGGGGCGAGTGGCCAGTGAGGGGAGGAACAGGTTGCAGAATCGCCCCAGAGTTAGAAACCATTCCTGGTTTCCCTCTTCCAAGCACTTCCACAGAGTGGGCAGGATACTGCTCCAGGCTTGACCAGCTGGGTGTGCAGGAGACCTCAGCAAGCACACAAGCTCTAGGCAGCCCCAGGAGGAGACGTGCTCAACCCCAGCCTGTGCCCACCACGACGCTCAGCCAAAGGGCTGGTGTCCCACAGCGAGCACAGACGATTCCATCCCGACCAACCCAAGTCCCCCCAGCAGAGGTGGGCTCGCCCAGCCAGCACCTGGCATGCAGCAGGGACCGGGTCAGTTCTGGCCAACTCCTCACTGCAAACACTGCAGGTGACAGACCCTACCCAGCCCTGATGGAGCAGAGGTGCCAACCGTAGAGGTTGCCGGGAGACTGGCCCTTTCCGAAAGGCTCCTGGGCCTCCCTTGCTGGAGCCAGATAGAGCAGCTGGGGCTAGGAGACGGCCAGAGTGACTGGTGACGCCTGTCTGCAGTGTAGACCCAGCCTACCAACAAGGCAGCCTGCTCAGTGGATAATCCCATGGCTGGCCTGATCTGCTGAGCCAGCAGCCACCCAGGTAGAAGAATGGGGATGAAGGGCTCCCTGGAGGTGGCATCATCCCTCACACTGTGATGCCTGAATAAAGAGTTGCAGGGGATCACCAGAGCCACACACTGTTTTCAAGAGAATATTCTGGCCTTGGGAGGGGACCAGCCCTCGCACCAGCCCCAAGAGTTTGCTCCTCTGAAAAAGTCTTGAGCCAGATGAGCCACATGGGAGAGGCAGGGGCATGAGGCTACGGGACCCCGCTTACCTGACAGCTTGTTTGGAGGAGAGGCGCTGGGCTGGTGGTGGGGGGAGCTGTGAGCCAGCAGGGGGTTCAGGCTGTGCGTCTGGTTGGAACTATAGGCGTCCATGGCCAGTTTTTGCCGGAAGGCCTCCTCCTTCCTGCGGTTTGCAAACCAGTTGTAGACACGAACCTCTGTGACCAAGTTGGAGCCCAGGCCGTGGGCCTTGGACGGGGACACGCCTCGCTGCAAGCACTCGGCCCTGGAACGGAGGGAGGGGAGAGGCTGGGTGAGGGTGGCCGCTCTGCTGGCGGGGGCTCGGCCCTACCCTCCACGTCGCCATCCTCAAGCCAACCCAAAGGCCTTAGGAGCACGCGGAGGCCCAGGACTGAGCGGGGAGTGGGGAGGAAGGCCATCCTGAGCAAATGCCAACCTGTGCCATCATGGGGTGAGGGTGGTCAGCCAGGGGCCTGAACCCCGCACAGAGCAAGCTGGGCCACCCTGGAAGTCAGCGGCCCAGGCCTTGGAGGAGAGAGCAGGCATGGGCGGGCGGGCAGCTCAGCGGCAAGGCCCTGCTTGTGCCCCCAACACCTCCTGTTTTGCCTTTCTTCCCCCCTACTCTAAAGGCAGGGTCCTTTGCCAGCTTGGCCGAGTCCCTTCAAGGAACTCGGAGGGCATCTCTGGGCCCAAGGACACCCGGACACCAGAAAAGGTGCTGAGGCAGCCGGAGTCCTTATTCACACCCAGAAGCCCCTGCGAAAAGCAGGCTGGGTAGGATGGCGGCCACACACAGCTGCGCCTCTATTCATCACGGCTGCCAAAACCCAATCCAGGTACGAGAGATGCTGCCAGACCCCACCTGGGGCTCCGCGTCAGCAGGGGCCAGAGTACAGCCTGAGCGTGCTGCGCCCTGTGCGGGCCAATTACTCTGCCTCCCCACTTCCTGGCCACATCTGTCCACAGCCAAAGCTGACCTTGCCCAGAGCTGGAGAAAGGGCCAGAGGCCATGGTCAGCAACCAAGGGCAGAGTTTGTAGAAAGCCAATACTGGAGTCAGGGAGGACTGGGCAAGAAGACACCCCACAGATCTCCAACTGCTTTGTTGCTTTGTAAGTTACACACAGGTGTCAATGTTGAGGTGTTGAGGCCCAGGGCATGAAGCTGCTGCCTGTGACACTGGTATCCTGTATCAGAGCACCGAGTCAAGCGCTAGCTGCTCTGCTTCCGATCCAGCTCCCTGCGAATGCGCCTGGGAAAACAGCAGAAGATGGCCCAGGTACTTGGGTCTCTGCCACCCAAGTGGGAGACCTGGATGGAATTCTGGGCTCCCAGCTTTAGCCTGGCTGTTGCTGGCATTTGGGGGGACTGAACCAGCAGATGGAAGATGTCTCTGTTTCTTTCTCTCTCTCTCTCTCTCCCTTATCACTCTGCCTTTCAAATAAATAGATAGATACTTTAAAGTGCTCTTCTGAGTCACTGTGGCAGAATGGACGGAACAGATCCCACCAATTCCCAGTCTCTGCCAAGTTTCCTTCTGGGCCAGAGGGGGTATGTATCACAGTGAGTGGAGGCAGAGCCAGAGTCTGTGGCTAGAGGTGTGGTTTTGCTCTGGCCTGTGTGGAGGGCGAACACACGAATTGCCCTTTGCTGCGTCATCTTTTACATGCTGGGGCGTGAGTCAGCATTCCACAGGAGGAAACGTCCATGGGCGACAGCCAGGCCAGCATAGCACAGGAGGGCTCTGCACTACAGGGCTTCGCCCGGACTGACCATGACCGGTCATCTCTCGCGGGGACCCCTCCGGGGAAGGAGCCACACGACGCTGCTCAACTATGCTTATTCACATCTTGAAATTGGGGGCTCTGTGGGACACACTTGGGGACACTCTGATTTGCCCGCACTTATCTGGAAAACCAGTGCCTCCACGGCCCTGGGCTGAGGGCGTGGCCAGCCCTCGCAGGCGCTCCCGCCTGCCCCTGGGCTCTCGGTGTTACCTGTTGCACTCCTCCACTAGGGCCTCCCTCTCCTCCTTGCTGGGGTTCTTTTGCCGGTCGTAGGCCTGGTACAAGATTTGCTGGGACGCGGGCCCCCACTTGAAGCGGTTGCGACGCATCTTCTTATTGGTGGGCTCGGAGCAGGCGTCATCGGACTGCCCGGGGCCCTGGCTCTGCTGACTGAACTCTGGAAAGAGAAACAGCAGCTGATCCTGACTGCTTTTGTCTGTGAGATTTCCAGAACTCTGCACTGTCTGGTTGAACTCTGAAAAGAGAAAGGAGTAGATTTGATAGGGTCTGTAGCCTTCCCGCGGCACACAGACAGACAGACAGACAGACAAAGACACCTGTACTCCTCTCCCCTGAGCTTTGCCGCCTGCCTTTGCCCCGCGTGGGGCTACAGAGGGGGCCTCTGCGCCCCCTCGGGTGTTCCAGCAAAGTCACCCTTCTTCTCCCTTCAAGGAGCTCCACCACGGCCAACCAGTGCTTTGGGAAGAATTATTGTCTTTGCTTTCGGCTCATGGCCCTTGGACATGAAGCAACACTCTGGATCCCATGCCCTTGTATTTTGTTGTCAAAGGGAGGAGCTTAACCAAGTGCTTAACCTAGGGGGAGACTGCTCAGAGGCCCAGTTTACACTTAGACAAAATATTCAGACACTTTAAAGAGCTCACTCCACCCTTCTCTCGTCCTGTATCTGCCATATCCATGTATTATAACATAAAGTTCTTAGAACAACATGGAACACAGAAGTCTTGGAATAAGACTAAAATAAACACGAGCAGAGCTTTGCAGTGGAAAGAGAAGACGCTCTTTAGATTTAAAGTGATTTAAAGGCTTTGGTGTGTATGTGTGTGTGTGTCCAGGGGTCAGTTTCTGAGACAGCCAGCCAGAGAGGGAAAAGTCTGACAGATCCACCCACCAATCTGAAAATGGGCAGGTGCAGAAGTCAGCAAACACGGGACGTTCCTGGGGAAGGCGTTGAATGAGCAATGCAAATGGAATGGTGCTCCCTGTCTGTCTGCTTCCCAAAGCCCAGGCCTCTCCTGACCCTCAACATGTTTTTGTGGGGCCCACGCTGTGGTTAAGTCACCCCCTTCAATGCTGGCATCCTACATCGGAGCACCAGTTTGAATCCTGTCTACTCCACTTCTGATCTAGCTTCCTGCTAATGCGCCTGGGCAAAGCAGCAGAGGATGGTCCAAGTGCTTGGGCCCCTACACCCATGTGGGAGACCCAGACGGAGTTCCTGGCTCCTGGCTTCAGGCTGGTCTAGACCTCACTGTTGTGGTCATTTGGAGAGTGAACCAGCAGATGGGAGATCTCTCTTTCTCTGTCTCCAACCCGCTGCCCCTATTGCTCTACCTATTGAGTATATAAATAAATATCTAAGTACACATATTTAATTTTTGTTGAACAAATGGAAGAGAGACTGCAGCTGGGCCCGAGGGTGATACCTAGGCCTACACGGCTTCACTGAGAGTGAGACTGACTTTGCCGAAGACAGAACTGTGTCGTCTTCCTCACATCTGTGAGGAGCAGGGCCCATCAGGTGATTCATCCATTTTACAGATGAACAAGCAGAGGTCAGGCACTCTGCTGAGCAAGGCCACTTGAATCCATTTCCCAGCTCCGGGCCCAAGTCCTGGACCTTGGTTCTTGGAGTCATCTCGCAGGTCTCTGAGTGTCCAAGGAGCCCTGGAGTGTGAGTCTAGATGTGCCAGCATTGTCCTTTGGACAGCTGGGTCCCAAATCCTCAAAGTTCAAAAGTCAGGCCAGGCCTTAACGTTAAAGTCCCCTCTACAACACCCACCCCGGGGGCCGTCCAGTCTGTATTTCTCCTGCAGCTGGGAACTTCCTACTAAGGATTTATTTGGTCCACCACAAGGGAGCCATGAGCCCCTAATCAGCCTGGACTTAGGGTCCCAGTGGCAGGTGGTGGTGGGCTTCACTCAGCCAGCTGCTGATCAGAAAGTCTGCGCACAGTGGCTCACTGAGCTTGTCCCTGGGGTCTTTGATTTGGGCCTCACTCACTTTGGGTGGTCCTCAGGACACCTGAGGTACACAACAATGCCTTTGGAGACCTGGGCTGTATCTGTCACAGGCCCCAGGGCATAAGGCGGGGTCACAGCCAGTGCCTTAATCCCCCAGTCCCTCAGCTTCCCCACCTGTGGAATGGGCCTGGCTGAAAGCGGCAGGGCACTAATTAGTTAGAACACCTCCGCCCCGACCGACCCCAGTCTTCACACCTCTGCGATTACTTGGTCAGCTCCACAGAGCTCTGGGTGCAGCCACCTGAAGGCCACCAGAGAGCGTCCCTGCCCCGGCAGCCATTTGGCACAGTAGTTAAGACGAGGGCTGGACGCTCACATGCTGGGTTCAAGTCCTAACTCCGGCTCCCAATGCCCACTTCTTGCCAATGCACACCCTAGGGGGAAACAGGTGCTGCCTGGAGTATTTGGGTCCCTGTTACCCAGGCAGAAGTCCTGGATTGAGTTCCTGGGCCCTGGCCCTGGCTCCTGGCTTCAACCTGGCCCAGCCTCAGCTGTTGCAGGCATTTGGAGAAGTGAACCAGCAGACCGGAGCTCTGTCGGTCTCTCTCTCCCTCACTGCCTCTCAAATACGTAAAACCAAAGGAAAAGCAAGGCCCTGCTCAGTGTGTGTGGAATCTGTTCTTGGTGTCTCCTCCTGGTGGGCCCCGGCGGCACCTGTGAAGTTGGAATGGATGGTCCAAGGGCTGGGGTCAACGTAAGGTCTTCCACTTGACGTGAACAGGAGTGCGGGCAGCTGGCCCACGTCTCGCGCCAGGCCAAGGCCCCCATGCACCATCCCCACTCTCCACCTGAGCACTGCGTCTCCACTGCACAGATGAGGGGACTCGGGTCAAGTGACTTGGGGCCGGGGCCAGGATGCCAACCCAGCCTGTGGGCTTTGGGCTCCCGCCCACCACTCCTCACTTAGGAACCCGACCCCGGCAGCGATGCTGGCCGTGGGCCTGGGGGCCGCTCACAGTTGCCCCGGAGGGTGGGGGGCACCTCTGTCTCTTGCTTGCCTCGGAGGAGGGAGCAACCTGAACGCTGTTCAGAGCCCAGTGCAGGCCTCCACCTGCCTGCCGGTCCTATCGACCTCAGGGCCTAGCCTCCCGGCTCTTGGAACTGGAGAGCTGGACTCCTCCGTGCCCTGAGTCACCATCAATTTCCGCTTTCTCCCGGATGAACAGAAAAGCTCTCCTGCCCGTGCCATCTAACTTGGGGAGCTGGCTTCAGCACCTCTTCACAGACTTGGCAGCCAGCCTGGAGGAGCAGACTCTATGGACGTATATATGGATATGACCGCTCCTTATTTTCAGATTTTCAAGAAAATGCATCATCACCTATAATCTTTTAAAATCTCTCCCCCCTTTCTCCTGCTACTCACCTCATTCATATATGTCCCTCGTTTATCTATCTCACTTCCTAATTTTTACCCCATGCTTACAAGTATCACCTCCCCTGGAAAGCCCTCCGGGATGTCTCCAAGCAATTTAATGTCCTCTGCTGCCCCTTGTGTATATATTTATAACACTTTTTAGAGAGCGGCTGCTGTTATTTACTCAAATTTCAACTCCCTCACTGGACTGGAAGTCCCTGGAGCAAAGGGCCTGTGCAGTCACAGCCTAGCACGGTATCTGGCACAAACAGGTGCTTGTACAATATTTACAGAAGGGAGAAATGTTCCTTAGGCTTTGTGTCTCTTGTGACTCTAAAACAACAATAACAATAACAATATAACCAAAAAGATCCCTGGAAGAGATTGCCCTAAATTTTTGTAAAATGTCCTTTCTCAAGCTTCTGGAAACACTTGCTGGGGTGTTTGTTTTTCTTCTAGAAGGTTCCAGCCTCCCTCTCCCCTCCTTGAACGCAGAGCTTGGGTTTGGCCAGTGGCAGGACTTCTCCGGCCGTCAGAGACACGCTCCTGAGAACTTTTCTCAAGTTTTCCAGGAACCAGAGAGTTGCTTCATGTCAGGGACACACATTCTTGAAGAGCCAGTCACCACGATGGGGGTCGGCCCCACCTTAAAATCCTCCTCTGGGAGGGAGCAAACGGCCCTGCTCAGCGTCCTCTGCTCTGCCCACTGAGTGCCTCCACCAGAGGACTCCACCACCCCTGCCTTCCCAGCCTGGGACCCCGAGACACTAAGCCCGAAGCATGTGGCAGAACACAAGAGGGATTTTTAAAAAGCGCCCATCCGTGGGAGTGGAAAAAACAAAACCCAACTTCCGCCCTGGCGGCAGCTAAACACAGGGCGGAGACAGTCGGCGGCCCGGGGAGCACAGGCAGGGAGGAGGCAGACACCCCAAGTTTCCCTGGGGAGAGGGCTGGCTCAAAATAGGTCAGGGGATTCCTCCCTACAATCACGCCCCTCACGCTTCTGTCATTCCCACACAGTCCAATCCCCCCCAAGACTTCGAAACCAAAACCTCGGTATCAGTATCGGTATCGGGGGAAGAACTCTCGGGACAAAAGGAAAACTCCAGGATGGGGTTGGGAGTGACAGGAAGTGGTGGGACAGGGCTCAAAACGAAGGCACTTTGTGCCTTGCCTTGGCCAGCGGCAGCCTCTTCACTGGGGCCGCCAGTGGCACTCCCCACACTCTGCCAAGTCTGGTGAACTGACTTCAGCCCCCAGCCCCCTGCCCAGCCTGCTGGGTCCTGGACCCCTCTCCCCGCATGAACAAATGTCTTCTATTTTTGGCTGCTTTTTGCCGCAGGGAGGAAAGTGATGGAATGACCCCCATTAACCGGCTGCCAATGCAGTGTCTTCTCCGATGCCAGACTCTGACCTGTGGCTAGGGATCTAGAGGGGATGTCCCCTGGGAGACATGGTCCACTCCATCACCTGAGTGGTTCCAAAGCGAGGGTGTGGGAAGGAGAGACAGGGACAGTGCAGACTCTCAAAGGCTTGTCACAGCATCGGGGGAGAGAAAGAGGTGGCACAGCCGAGCCGCTGCATGCCAAGGGCACCTGCCACCTTCCTTGCATCCGCCCGCGCTCACTAAGGCCTTGGGAACTGAGGCAGCCCAAGGGGGTTGGCACGCGGGCCCAGGGCACTGCAGGTTGAGGCAGAGGCAGGAGGGAATCACTTACGTCGCAGGATCTCCCGCTGCTTTCTGACGTACCAGGTGTACAGGGCCGCGCGCTTCTGGGTCTTCATCGGGGTGCCCTTGTTGAGATGCTGGGAGAGATGGGACTGGTTCAGGCCCGTGACGTCCACCACCTCCCTCTGGGGGATGTTGTGTTGCTGCATGTAGCCCTTGATCATTTTGGCGGCCCTCCAAGGGTCCTCACTGCACAGAGAAGCAGATGGTTAGGGTGTGAGCATGCCCTGCTGGGAGAAATGGTCTTTGTGCCACTTGTTGCTCTACCTGTCCAAGCTACAACCTTGGGGCAGGTGTGTGGCCAAAACACAACCTAGACAGGAGAGGTGCAGGGCAGGTGGTGGGGTGGCCAGTCCCGTCCACTCTCCATCCTTTTCTCCCGAGATCTCCAGGGCAAGAAGATGACTTTCCCCTTTTGGGGAATGAGAGAGTGCTCACTGCCCTCTCTCTCCCCCTCCCTCCCTCCTTCCCTCCTTCCCTCCTTCTCTTCTCTCTCTCTCTTTCTCCCTCCCTCTCTCCTTCTCCTCTCTCTCTCCCCCTCCCTCCCTCCCTCCCTCCCTCCTCTCTCTTCACTCCACCCCCGCCCCCTCGCTGCTTCTTTGACTGACTTCGCTCTCTCAGAAGATTTATCTTGCTTTCCATATTTTGTACAGGACTGGGCGAGAGGTAAAAGGCCAGCAGCCCCCTGGACAGTGCAGACGACAGGAGCCTGAGGCTGGGCTGACCAATTCTGCAACCACAGGGGCTGGTATCAGTTTTCAAATTCACTCGATTTTGCCCTCAGCCTCTCCCACGTTATTTTCCTTTTGAGTGGGTGTCTCCGTCCCTTCAAGGAGAGGGGTGAAATGTGCATGTCCACCTCCTGAGAACCACGGAGGGCTCCCCGTCACAGTGCTCAGAATTTCCGAAGAGTGCTCAGAAGTGGTGAGGCTGTTCTTCCCTGGGACTGCAGGATCTCTGCCACCACCACCGCTGCCGCCGAGGGAAGAAGGTGCTACCTGAGCCCCGCCTCCCCAGCACAGCCTGGTGGGGAGGAGTAACTCCAGTTCTGGAGTGAGATATGAACCGTCTCCAACGCCTGGCTTTCTTGTACTCTCACATCGCCCCCCCCCCCCGCAAGGTAAGAGTGGCTGGAAGGTGATGTTTCTCATAAATCTCAAGCCCAGGCTAAGATCATGCTTAGACTTTTCATTTTGTTTTGCACAGGTATGCAAAACAAAATCTTGGACTGGGGCCATTGAATTTTATTTATTTAAAATGTTTTCAACATTGTCAGTACCTTTTCTTGCCTATTGAAAAAGTGACTTAAATGTGAGAGAGAAGAAATTATGAATGCATAACACAAAAATATTACAGAAGCAATACAGCCATTCACATATACTACTTATTAACTTATTAACTTATTTATTATCATTAACGTACACAACATCCCTTTACTGAATGTTTACGTGTATATCAGTTTGGCAGGACACGAAAATTAGTTTCCAGTGAAACAATAAAAAAAATGGTGTCAAAGCAAGATCCAGATTATAGTGTTGTCATGTAATAGTCAACTTATTTCTAAATGATTCCTTTCAGGCATCCGATAAAATTATTTTTGTTTCATGAATAAAATAATCAAATAGAGATTTTGTTAGCCCGTGAGTAGTTGCGATTATTTTAGCAAGTCCCCGACTTTGAAGGAATTGCTCTTGGGAAACGAAAACTTTTGAGTTTTAATTATATTTAAGTCAGTAATCACATCTCTCAAGTATTTAGGAAGGTGCTTACTAAATATGAAGTATTTAGTATGAGGAAGCAGCAAGGATCAACAAGAAAACTCGCTGCACTTTCAAACGTGAATTCACCTTGAGCCAAAGAAAAAGAACGCCACGAACATTTTCGCCTGTCCGTGTAAATGCCAGAGACGTTTTAAAAGTTTATTTCTGGCGAATACTCGTGTATTCCCACAGAGAGTTTTAAGGCGGAAAAACACTTTCCCCAGATAAGGAACAACCGCGTCAAAAGTCGGAAGGAAGCCCTCGGTTCTTAAAGTTCGCACGACATCGCTAGAGCAGACTTCGCTTTTGTTCAAACGTCGTTACCTGTGCACGTCCTGTGCGCCCAGAAACCGAGCGAACGGCTGCAGTGCTGCAGTGTGAGTGGTTTTGTGAACACAGCGAACGCGCCCCACAACTAAGAAGGTTTGAAAAAGTAAAGAAAAAGCCCAGAGAAACCTTTTAAACCCGGCCCAAGGCTTGAAGCCCGAACGGAAAGGCCGGAGTTGGGGGTAAGATGGCGCAGGTGCACCTTTCTGGCTTCCCGGCCCCGGGATTCTCCTGCGTTCCCGGAGAAGGGCCCGGACAGCGGGCCACGGCGTTGGACAGGAAAATCCCTCTCACTTTCAGGGGTTCTCAACCCTTGCCAGGACACGCGTCCCGGGCCGCGCGCCGGGCCACGGAGCCCGAGCGCAGGTGTCGACTCCGCCCGAGGGCGAACAATGACCTCGCGGCCCAGCGGCACGAACGCCCCGGATCCCGGCGCTGTCGGCGGCGCGCGGGGCCCCGCAGCCCCGGCTTGGGCCCGCGAGGCCGCAGTCGCAGTTCCAGACTCGCTCTCCCACCCCAACCCACAACGCGCGCCCTCCCGCCGGGGCGCGACCCGCAGCGCGCAGTCCCCAGCCCGCCTCCCTAGCCCTTCTCTGCCGAACTGCGCATCCGGCCGCTCCGCACCGCGACCTTTCTTCCCGCCTTAGAGGAACAGAGCGAGTGCCCGGCGCTCGGGACCTGCTGTGCGGCGACTGGGATCGCCAGCCGGAGTCCTAGAAAAATTAGTTTCATAAAAGCCGAACACCCCCGGGGGGCGGGGAGGGACTGCGGCTGACCCGGCCACGGGGGAAAGGCCTCGGGGTTTGTCCCGAGCCCCCGAGCTCCGCGAGACGGTCTCCAGCTCCCGCGCCCCGCGCCCTAGCCCGCTTTGGGGACGAAAAGAGGCCAAGGCCGGGGAGCCAGGGCCGGACCTGGGGGCGTCGGCCGCGCCGGAGCTCCGCCGGGGCCGCGGCTCTCGGGCAGCCCGGGTCTGCCCCGCGTCCGCGTCTCGGGTGCCGTCCCCCGCTAAGCCGTGTTTACGACTGCACCAATGAATAACCCGCCTCTCTTTTCAGCCTAATCGCCGTGCTTTGTGTATCTTTCTGTTGATGATTTATAGAAATAAATTAATAACACCCCAACTCCACGTGCTGCGGTTTTGTTAGTTCTCGGCTGCGTCCAGTCCGGCACCTGGCCGGGTATGTGGGGGGCTTCCCAGACGTCCGCAGGGGCGCCTCCCAGGCGGGGAGAAATTACCGCCACGCGGGGAAGCCTCTCATCTATGAATTATAGCAAAAATACCTTTTAAAAAATCCAGAAGTGCCCCCAGTCGTCCTGGCTGGCGGGCAAGGCGCCGGGTCCGTCCCGAAGCGCAAATTCAAATGCAAGGTCACCTCCCACCCGAGCCGCCGCCGCCGGCCAGCGGCCCAGCCCGCCCGGAGTCCCCGGCGCGACTTCAGTCCCGGCCCCCCGCAGCTGAGACCGCCGTGCTTCGGGGTCGCAGGCCCAGCCGGGGGCTCGGTCCCGCAGCAGAGAAGCCTGAGAGCAGCGTGCGGCGCTGGGCACCGCTCGGCTCCCTGGATAATTAGTAACCAGCTGTCAACGCGGGGCCGGCCGCGACGACCGGCAGGCGATCCCGGCCCGGCGTCGATAGTCAGTCCGCCTGAATCCGGCCCCGGGAATAGAGGGGCCCCGGCTCAGAACGCGCTCCTGGGCTCAGACGCAGACCGGATCCCGCTGCGAGCCCGGGGCTTACTCGCACCAGCCCCAGGCAACACCTGCTGGCTTATGCATTCGCGGCTCCTTTTGCCCCGCGCGGGTCCACCCCGACAGTACACACAAACATTCTCCCTTTGCAAATCTAGACTGGTTTAGGGGACTCCGGGACCCTCCACCGGCCCTGCAGATTCGAGCGCCTACCTGAGACCTCGCTTCCCAGACCCCCTTCCGGCTGCGGCCTGCCCCTCGGCGGAGGACGGAGGGTCGCCGCGCCCCAGGCCTCCCCGCCACTTCCCGAACCCGAGACAGCGCCGGGAGAGATGCGTGGGACTGGAGGCTTGCGGGCACGCGGGCTCCCGAGAAACCTCAGCTGTCTCGCCGCACCCACCCGCGCCTTCGGCCGCGTGGGCAAACCTCCTGGCCAAGGGGCCCCGGGCCGAGCCCCACTGGGAAGGCCCTTGGGCACAGGACGCTGGCGTGGGCCGAGAGGGGGAAGGCTCGGGACCCCCGGGCGGCCTGGCTGCGGGACCGCGAAGGGTCGGGGTGTCGGAGCAGAGGCGGCGCGCCCCTCGGGGTCTTCTCTGGCGGGGACCTGGCGTGGCGGGCGCAGGGGCCCGGAGCCCAAGGCTCGGGCGCGCCCTCTCCGCCTCGCTCGGCGCCTACCTGAGCATCCGGTCCACCTCGGCCCGCTGCTCGGCCGCCTCCTCGGTGTTGAGCGCCTGCAGCTCCTTGAGGATGGGAGGGGTGTCATAGTCGTCGCCGTCCTCCGAGCCCTCGTCCCCGGACAGGCGGCCCTTGGCGTGGCCGTTGGTGAGCGTGTGGAAGACCGGCTTGGTGTCGGGCTCTGGCCCGCTCCCGGGGGACAGGGGCAGCGATTCCAGCTTCACCCCGAAGTTCGGGGACGGCAGCAGCTCCTCCAGGGCCTGCACCAGCACTTCCTTGGTGACCCCGGAGCTCAGTAGGGCGCTCAGGAGTTCTTGCTGTAGCGACGTGAGCTTGGACACCATTTTCCAAGGACGCAGAAAGAAGGGGGTGCGGGGGTGGGCGGGTGCGCCAGAGGAGGGTGGAGGGGAGTTTCACGAGTGACCCCGGAGTCCGGCGGCCCCTCCACCCTTCAGCCTCCAGACACCTGTTACTCCCCGGGGTCCCGGAGTCTCCTCCGAGAGGAGTCAGAAAACTTCTAACTTGCCATGATCGCCACCATTAGGCCATATAAGACATGCAAATGAGTGGGAAGGGCCCGGCTCTCGGCTGGATGCAAATGGTGGTGGGGTGGGGGGAAAACCAAGAGAGAGGGCGAGCCGAGCTGGAGGGGCAGATGTGCGCCACAGGCGCGCGGGGCGGGCGCGGGGCCGCCCAGGCCCGCGGCGCGCACGCCGGGGGGCCCGGGACCCGCGCTCCCCGGCTGTGTTTGCCGGGCCACGCGCGCTTGAGCTCTACCCTTGGTCTGGGCGCGGGGGGCTTTTCTACCGGCCGCCCTGCGGGCCCGGAGAGAAGAAACTGCGCTCCGTGGGGTCCAGGTGAGAGCCGGAGAAAGCTGGGGTGCGCTTGGAAGAAGCGGGTAAGGAGGTGGCAGAGAGGAGAGCCCCTCCGAGGCGCTGCGGGTAGAGGCGATGTCGACACCCTGGGGCGGCGCTAGGCCGGGTAAGCGAGTCTAGGAGGGGACCCGTTGCCTGCCACTGCTCGCCGCCCAGCAGGCGACCGGCCCTGGCCTTTGGGTTTGCGGCAGTGCGGCCGGGATCACAGGCACCGGGCGAGGAGGCCGGCCGGAGCGAGCAGCTTGGTAAAGCAGAGCCCCCCCAGCAGCAGGCCCGCCAGGCTCTCCGATTCCAAGAGAATCCAAGCTGGACGGCTTTGGAGGCAAAACCAGGACTGCGGGAACTCCTCCGGAGCGGCGAAGGCGGAGCTCGGTCCGCGACTGGCTTGGCCCACTCATTTCTGGTTCCCAGACCCCCGCGGTGCTTGGGCGCTGCGGAAGCCAGGTCACTGCGGCAGTGGCTACGGCAAAGGCGCGCGAGGAAAGAAGGCCTTGTCTACCCAGGCCTTCCAGTCGCTGCTCTCCGGGCAGCCGGGGAAAGGAAGGAGGAAAGAGGCCAGCCTGGGACCTGGCCTGCGCAAGAACACGGGAAGCCCAGCTCTTGGACCCACAGCGCCTGGAACAGAGGCAGGCCCTCCCCGGTCCGAGCCTCTGCTTCTCATCTGTGCAGTGGCGACACTGCTGACACCTGTAGTGCAGGGGGTCCGGGTTGGCTGCATGAGACCACCTGTGCAGCCCCTAGGTCTGACCAAAGTGTTCCCTTGCCTGTCTAGGGAGGCAGGAGGCCCGGTTTCCCAGGTAAAATCTGGCTGGAAGCTTAGGGTTCTCAGAACCAAGAAGAGCCAGGGCTGGGGTTGGAGGGAGTGAGGCATTTAGTTCAAAAATTCAGAATCGAAAATTCAGAATCAGCAAGAAAATGGCCAAGGATCTCCTGAACCTGTCGTCCTTGCTCTCCCACCTATCAACCTTATTAGGCGGAGTTTGGGGTGAGGTTAGGGAGAGAGAGGGATTCCGGCTGAGGAGCTAGGACAACTCTTTCAAATACAGGATCTGCTACTCGCGCTGGAGCCACCTATACTGGGGCCAGAAAGAAGGGGGTGCTCCGTGCGTTGAGCCCTGGGGCAGGCTTCTGCCTAGTTCAGCCGGTATTTCCCCGAGAAAGGGCCAGTGCATGCATGGGAATCAGGCCTGCCATGTCACCTTGCTGTCTTGTTGGGACCTCTGGCAGACCCTGCGCCTTGTAGCCCCCCAGCCCTGCGGTAGGTCTTTCCCCGCTTCCCCAAGCCTCCCTTCAAGCAGGATAGCAAAGTGCTCATCCAAAACATCCCTGGAGAACCAGCTGTTTCTGTCTCTCCCTCACTATCGTGAAAGAAGCCTCAAGGGTAATGAAACTTAGTTTCTGTGTCAAGCTGGGAAAACCCATTATTAAAAAACCAGCCATCACTTCCCTTTTAACCACCAAGCTTTGCTTTGTAGTTCCAACCGCTGTCCGCCCTGCCCCTCTGTCTCTGTCTCTGTCTCTCTCAGAATTGACCTGTCTGTAATCCCTTTCTTCTTCCAACCCCAGCCAGCCATGTGAAGGTACAAGGAGCTTCACACAGAGGGGAGACTCTGAGTGTCCAGGTGTATCTTCCAGGTAATCTGGCCGCTTCTACTCAGCTATTCCTGTAATCCTCCTGCCCAGACCTACCCGTCTGTGCCACTCAGTGCAGTGCAGGTGCTCACCAGTTAGGCACAGATACCGATCTGTGAGCAGATGCGATCCTTTCACATGGAAATTTTTACAGCATGTAAGCAGTCCAACAGACAGCCCTTCTGGATATGGGTCATCACTTGTGAGCTCCGTGAGCTGGCCCATAAAACCCCTCTCATTTAAGCTTCCCCCCGACAGAGGGAGATGGCATAGGACTGAAATAATCTTTGTCTATGCTTCACATAGGGACAAAGTGGTGACAGACTGATACAGCAATCCCAGTTCAAAGTTGAGAAAATGAGACATGGGACAGGCCTAAGGAGATTGTTGGTAACCGCCGGAGTAAGTTCATGGAAGGGCTGTGATCTGGGCTCAGGACTTTTGAGCAAGACTTAGGATAAAAGTGGAAGATCTGTTTTCCTTGTGTCAGGGGAGGAGATGCTGAAAGGGAGATGCAGTGGGGACAAGGTGGAGGACACACGATAGGGAACAATGGGCAGGCCTTGGAGTCAGAACAGACCCACGTGTGCAGAAGGATAGTGCTAGGCTACCGTGTTTTTGTGATTACCTGTATTAGTAACTGCAGGTTCTGCAGTGAGGTGGACTCTCACACATTTACGATGAGCAGGCTCATCACGGACGCTTGCTCAGAGGCCGGACAACTGATTTCCTGGGGCCCTTGAACTCCCGGCTGGGTTTTAAGAGTTTGTGGATTTGAAGAGACTACATTAGACTATTGCACTCAAATGATGATTTTGTAGTTCATATCTCAAGGTTTTGGAGGATGCAGTCCCGGGTGCAAACGAATGTAAAATCCATTGGTTCATTGCTCCGTGAGGGCCCACTGAGTACCACACCAGCAATGTCACAGCACGCATGGTGGCTGCTGTGGACCCGGCCACGTGATATTTCTTTGCTGCTCTGTGCACAGTCTATCCCTCCCCCTGTTCCATGGTTATGTCTACAGAAGGGAGACCCTGCTCATTTCTGTCCTCAGATGCTCCACTTTCCAAGGCTTTCCTGCTGGTTCAGTAGAGTGTCTGTCAAGTCATCTCCAGAGTAAACGGAAACACCACCTTGTCCTGGTCCGTAACGTGCTGGGGGCTTATGTCACACAGCGGTACCGCAGCCTGGAGAACGGCCTCGACTTGAGGGTCACAGGCCCAAGTCCCTAGTTCTGGCTACAATACCCCTTTCTGGGTGACTGCTCACCCCCAAAGGCTTTGGGGGGCAGCTTCTCTAGGGCTTTGACACTGCTGCTGACCATTTAAATCGCTCAACACTCCTATGATTTAAGATTCCTAAGATGTCTTACTTTACTGGGATGTTTGTTTCCAAGTCTTTGGGCAGGTGGTCCAAGAACTCAGGGCACACCTGAGCACGTGACTTGTTTTACCCGTGAAAAAATACAGCAGAGACTGGAAGCTCCACAGAGGGCAGGAGCCTCCTCCTGAGTTCCTCGTCACGGCCTGGCGAGATGCCTGTACATAGTAGATGCTCAATAAAGCACTTGCTGAAGCAAAGCATGAGTGTGTGTCTGGTGGTGATGCTGTGAGGGATATTTGCACTTCTCAGACTTTTTAATTTGTCAGGAATGAGATTGTAGTTTACAAATGACCACAGAAGAACTCACTTATATGCAGTTTAAAAGTGCAACTTTTAAACTTTTTATATGCAGTTTAAAAGTAGGAGAATGAGCCCATGGTGACAGAGGCACCTGAGATCCTAGACGGCTTCTGTATTCTGGGGGGGATGGTGGAGCCGTCACTGGGCTGTCTATGTGGGACTTGTGCGTGTGGCTGTGTGTAGGTTACAACTCAGTACGAAGCCAATTCAAGAATCCATTCCAAGGTGGGAAATGACCCGCCTCAGCCACTGCAGCTGATGTGTGGCTCGCTGATTCTTCCCCCGTGGCCACGTGTAAGACCTGCAGCCCAGTGTGCTCCAGCACCCCGCAAGCCTTTTCTATCAAGGGCCAGGGAGCGGATGGTACAGACTCTGTGGGCCATGTGGTCTCTGCCTCAGCTGTTCAACCTCACTTTCCTAGACAACACATAAATGAGTATGTGTGACTGTGTTCCAGTAAAAACTTATTCACAAAGGCAGCGCACTGGCTGGACTCGGCCCCTGGGACACAGTTAGTCAGACGCTAGATAAAGTACTTACGCAGGTAGCAGTAGAAGTCATCTCACTTCCCTTCTTCCTCTTCGGGATAAGGAAGTGGATTCTGTGGGTAGGGGCAGGGCGGGGAGTGGCTCTCCCAAGAGATCCGGCACACGACACCAGGGAGACCCTGGCTGTGGAGTCAGGTGGACCAGCTGCTTTCTGGGGTGGGGGGAGAGGGGGTGTGGGCATGCCTTGGGGCAAGTTACTTAATGCTTTTCCGTCTTTATATTATCGCCATATGTTAACTGTTGAGATTAGTGGAATTTATGCCTCATAGGGTTGTTGGAAGAATTAAAAGAGGTGACACAGAAAACACCGCACATCAGGGCTGGCACAAATTGAGTGCTTGCTTGGTCATAGCTCAGGGACTCCCTTCCTTCTAAATGCACAATTTCTGGGTCAAGTTCACTAGCAAACACCACTAGGCATTGACTGTGTGTGAAGCCCTCTGGGGTGCACAGCGAGGGAATAGCCAAGTGGTATAGGGAGACCACAAATCCCCCCTCTCTAGAAACCCCGACCAGTTTAGAGGGTTGTTGCCCAGACACGCTGATATCAGATGATCCGTGCCAGGGAAAGTCCTAGGGGTCGAGATTTCTCTCATTTTGATTCAACGAGCTGCCTCCTCTCGCTGGGTCATTTTTAGAACTAGGGTGTTCCCAGTCACTTGTAAAAGATTAAATTAAGAGCCAGTGGCCTAGTACGATATTAAACGAACAAATACTACACCTAGGATGGGCAGCAGCCACGGCAGAGCAGCGCCTGCTTCTACTGCGTCAAGAGCGCAGGGGGCTCAGCACACGGGAAGG